TTTCCACTAAGACGTACCACGGGTGAGAAAATGTCTGGTACACCTTCTTGTGCATAAGTTCGTCCCACACCCCATCATTATAATGTCGTGGAGCTTGTTTACGTGTACGGAGGAGCAAAGTAGTACGACGTGAAATGCAAAATTTCTTCTGTCAAACTTCCTGCAACGATAAAGTTTGCAACGATAGAGTTTGCAACTTTAGCTGATTTTTGGCCTTTCCCTTTAAATATATCATGAAGCGCTCAAACAGATACATCTACCTAAACTGAACTGGTCTGCCAAGTTCCGCTTTTTGAGGGAGATGAATGGGTAGGTGTTTCATAACATCAAAAAAGCGAGTGGGAATATTTTCTCTAAATTGCACAATAATATTAGAATATTTACAGCTAGTTGTGAAACTAAAACTTCTGATAATGTCTGTGTACTAAGATCACGGAAAAATGCTCCAATGCCTCTAAGTGATTCATGAACATTTTCTGGTAGGAGTTCAGCAAATGTGAAAGGAAGTAATCGTTGCATAAACATATGGCAGTCATGACTCTTCATCCATGAAAACTTTTGTCCTTTCTCAATAGATTTAGAAAGATTAGATATGTATCCATCAGAGAATTTCATGGCAGATGAAATCCCAATTGAACAACGAATATGTTTTTTTGCACCCAACCAAAATATTAGAACTGGTGCTTTCCCATTGCTCAAACTATGCAACTCAATTCTATTGCATACAGACAAGTCCATCTGTGATTTCCCGCTGTCCTTGGTTCTCTTGCACGTTTTACATTGTATGCATGATGTTATCAAAAAAAAAATTTCAATATGCATGACATCAAGATTGTGTCTCAGTAGATATATTTCCAGTAAGAAAGTTCCCAAAAATGATTTTCTTGTGCTAATTTTGATGAACTTCATATCCATCAGGAGTATGCCAATTTTTCCTTCGAGGGACCGTTTCAAGTGCCCCCCCCCCCAATGATATATTTGCGATTCAAGCTTGTCCCCTATAGACCCTTATAGAAACACTGGTAGAGGGAGACGAACAGCTTTGTTTTCCCTAAACAGTCGCTTGTTTCTTTGATATTGATGATTGGGTGGTAGAAATCAGCGGTGACAATCAAACCAACAATTTTTCCAACCATGTTTAAGCTGAAATGCATCAGTTCTATCAAGACAATAAGGACAAGATAACTTCTCGTAAGTAGTCTAACCTGATAGCATTCTGTATGTAGGCAAGTTGCTTATTGTCCATATAAGCACCGTCTGCATCATAAAATATTTGCCTCTCGAACTGTCATATGTTTGAACTCCGTTATGCCACAACTAGTTCAACTCATATATGAGTACAAAAACGTATCAAGGGTCCGCTTCAGGTGATTTGGACCAGGGACTATGATACTGAGAAACATAAAATTTCATTTGCATGCACATATCTAGGAAAATGTTATAAGGCATAAGGATTATTGGTCATAACGAATATTGCCTACCAGACATATCGAATAGATTAAATCTATCAGTGCAAAGACCAAGATATACCGCTTAGATTTAGAAAATACTGGATGTACAATGTTTAAGTGTTTCCACGATTTCGCATCGGACGGGTGAGTCATTTCTCATCTGTTTATGATTGTTCTACATGCCATCTCACTGCTGCAGCTGTCCTCTCAGATTGAGAAAATCGTTTTAACCTATCAGTTATAGAAAGATACCACATCCGTTGGTACGTTATCTTACTTTGCCCAGAAGTTTGCGGTTTATATCTCGGTTTTAACAAAATTAACATTCCTGCAGCTTTATCATCATATTTTCATAAAAGCATATAATTATCAACACACATATCTATCATCTCAGAAGGCAATCCAAAATTAAAATCCAACCTCTATATTTTTATTATGTTTTGGCGGCCAAATTATCTTCCGACTTTTAATAAAATCAGCTCAATTATCCATGCAAACTTCATCCATATTTTTTAATAAAATCAGCCCAATCATCCATTCATATATAATTGAGTTTTTATTTTTTATTTATTTTTTGCTTGAAAAATCTCAATAAATTTAAGAAAACTTAATGTATTTAAGAATTCTCAAACTAAACAAATAATATTAGGATTATCTTAGTTTTCTGGGTATTCTAAAATCAACGGATCAATGATAGCTACATCACTATACAAGAAGCTCTAGAAATGGTTAGCTTTTTCATTATGCTGGTTCAACTACTGCTTATGCTGGAAATCTCTCAACACCGTCAATCCACTCTCAATAGATGCTGCCCAGTATGAAAAGGTGATAAGTATAACTAGGGGAAGAATCTTCTTTGGCTCGGTACTCTTTTGACCAAGAGAATCCTATATTGCATTTTCAAACGCCCTTCCTCTGGTGGTTAAGTTTCCATATAGCGAGCTTTCTGTTATTGTTCATTGAAACCAGCTTCTGTCTCCTTTCTTTATCCCATCTCGTACATCATCAATAGCTTTCTTTGTTGGACCGAATTTTATAAAGCCTTAATGGGTTTTACTACAAATCAGAGTGTGAAGAGGAAATATGTCAATACTAAATGTTGGTTTTTTATTAATGAAACGCATTTGTCCCACATCGATGGTTTGGTGGAAAAATCTCTTTTATATATTAGAACAAGTGTTATACCTGTTCAAATAACTTGTGAGAGAAAAGAGGAAGCTTCACGCGTGCCGCCGCCGCCAAGCTGGGTCGGGTCGGGTCGGGTGCGGGTCGTGTTGGTCGAATGGGCCTTCGGGCCTAAGACGAATATTCTTTTTGATCCATAATTTTATGAACGTTTGGTCAACGTTTTTTCATTCAGTAAAATTTTCTGCATGCGTTTTTGATTCAGTCAAAAGAATATTGGATATTCATTATCTCCACAAAAACGTAACGACAGTGATTGTGACTTTATCATATTCGCTGATTTTTAGCGTTTGACTTCGCTAAAATTATGGCCGAGATTCGTGTTGGACTCGTGGATTTTGTAGGATTTTGCAGACTGCTCAAATCTCTTCCTCTGCTATATATACACGACCTCTCTTCTCATTTTACACATCTTTCACCTCTCATTTTTACTCTGAAAATCTCGCAACAGTCTCTTTTATTTTTGTAAGTTCTCTGCCGAAAGTATAGTAGAATACTAGTTCGTGTAAATTCATGTTTTTTAGTGCTTCTGAAAACGGATAAGTGTGGTTGTATCATGCGACTTTTACATCACAGAAACCCATCGCATTACAGACAATTTAAAAAGTTAAGAAAAGAAATCATAGTCTTGCCTCCACTCGTTTCTCTTTACCTTAACGTTTATATTTTATAATAATATTTATATTTTGTGGTGTTCAATCTATTTTTGTCCTACATTCTCTACCACTTCATTAGCTAGAAACGTGATTCATATAGCTAAGATAATCACATTATTAAGAAATATATGTGAATATTATTTACAGAGACATTTTTTCAAAGTGTAATGTCCAAAAAGACACTTTTTGAAAATTGGACACATTTACTTCTATTTTTTGACATTTTTGTCCTTTCTTTTCTTTTACTTTCTATTTTTTTTTTTAAAAAATATTAAAACGTACGAAGTCCACTTAACTTCACTTATCAGCTTCCACACACTAAATCACACGAGACCTATTTTAACTCATTTGATTCCACACACTAAATCACACGGGACCCACCTTAACTCATTTGATCTCACACACTTAATCACACAGAACTCATCTATATATATGCAACTATATAAATACATATATAAATATACATATATATATATATCTATGTAGTTGTATTTATATGGATACACGTATAAATATACATGTGTATCTATATAGTTACATCCATCTATACTTTATGCACATAAATATATATATATAATTGCATCGATATCCGTATATTTGTATCCACATGTACGTTACTAAATAGATATGTATGTGTATATATATATATATATATTTATATAATACATAGATATTTATATATTTGTGTCCATATGTATGTTACTATATGAATACATTTATACTATTAAATGAGAAGGGTATTTTGTGTCTAAACATAATTTTTACTTGATTTTATAATATTTTGTTTTCGGATAACTGTTATTTTTATTGATAATAAAAATATTAATTTAAATTTAAATTTATTAAATAAATTAATTTAGTATAATATTAATAAAATAATATATTTTAAATTTTTATTTTAATTTAAATCTGAAAATTAAGTTTTTAATTTAAATATCTTCTAAATTTTTTAAATATATATTATATTATTTAAAATTATAAAATAAATTATTTTTTAAAAAAATAATAATAATAACTCAGATATTAATTTAAATTTAATTAAAATTTTAAAATTTTAAATAATATTTTCAATAAAAAAATGAAAACAATATATAATTATATATTTTTATTAAATAAATCTAAAATTTAAATATTTAAAATATAAAAATAATATGAACGGATTTGTAAAATATTTTTTGGTTATTTTTTGAATTGATATAAATAAATATGTTATAGCAAAATTTTTAATAATAGTATTTTTTGAATTGATATAAACGTACGGATTAGAATAATATTTTTCTAATCGTCGTTATATATATAATATTAGAAAAAATAAATTAATGAAAACAAATTATATTTAAAGAAATTTTTAATTATTTATTAAAAATTATATATAAAAAAAAAAATTATAGTATATTAATTAAAAATAGTTTCTATGCAAACGTATGAGATATACTCTTGTTTATTATTAAATGATAAAATAATTTAGATTAACAAATATAAAATAAATATCAAAGTATAAAATATATATATATATATAATTTATAACATCAAAATAATTATTTTATTAGTTTTTATCATAAATAAATAACAACAAACAATTATAAAAAATATGTAATATTAATATAATATTAAAATAAAAAAATATAAATAAATAATTATAAATAAATTGTTAGTCATTTTTAATACCTCAACAATAAAAAAATATCTTTTTTTATAATATAAACTAGACATTATAAACTTAAAATATCCCCATGGTAACACACTCACACTCGAAATATATTACAAAAACCCAAACCAAAAAAAAAAAGAGAAAGAAACACCTTATTGCTACGTACGTGCGTATTTACATACAACTAACCTATCAAAAGAAGAAAAAAAACATTTCTTTTATTTTGAGATCATCTTAAACAACCAAACACTTAACGATCATGAAAACCCTCAATATATATGATCAGGCGCTATAACCCACAATAGACGGATGCGACATGAAGCGAGACTCATAGCCACCGCATGCTGCAGCGGAAGCTTTCTCCATCAGCTCCTTCGAGACACCGTTGTTACAAACGTTTGCAAACGCTCGCATATGTTTCATCCCGTATTGCGTTAGTGATCCACAATGCGTTTCAAATACACGTACCTAAGAAATTTCAAGCACATTTTATTAGCCAAACGTTACTGTGTTTGATTAAACTTGAATAAAAGTATATGTACATGAGATCGATGAAATGTTAAAGGATTGTGATAACTCTTACCATCGATTTAAGACATTCCCAATCGTCAACCAAAGGAAGACCAGGTTCTCTAACCGAGTTAAGAACATTCGTCGTGGGACCAAACAGAATCATGCCTATCAATTCAACACTTGCGTCTAAATGCTTCCTATGCCTCATTTGGTCGGTTATTTCCTTCAATATCTCATCCTTCCTTGACCCATCTTCTGATGTTCGGTACTGTAAAACCAAAGCCAATATAGTTTAAGTAAAACCCAATATTTACAATCCTTTCATATAACCAAAAATAATAAAAAAACTTTAGACTAGCAAAACAGAATAGTCCAATTATACCATGTGCCAAAGGAATAGAAGGTCTGCGTCGCGTTGGTTAACAACTCCCACTGGTGACTTGACCGGTAATTCGTTGGGAGGGAGATTAACAGTGGCCGGATCAAATCCTTGGTACAGATAAAGCTTCTCTGCCTTGATAGTATTGTTACCATATTCCATTACATGAGAGCCTTCAGAATAGCTATTATAGTTTGATGTCCGCATCTTCACCTAAATACCGGGATAAAAGATTTGCTATATATATTTCTCATTCTCAAACCAATAATCTTCAAGTAAAATGATAAAAGAAAAAAAATTCCCTAGTACCGTTTGGTATTGTTGCTTTATGGTCTCTTTCTTTAAATTGTGTGTCTCACTGCAAACAAATCACAACAAATAAACCAATAGATATACAAATAAAAGCACTGAATGATAAGATAAAATGATATATATATATATATATATATATATATATATACCTGTCTTCCATCCAAGCAACACTATATAAATCTCCTAAGCAAGTGATGTATTCGGATGGGGGAGAAGGATTCATGCCAGGACAATATGTTCCGTAGCTACTCTCTTGTGCATTTGAAGCTGTTGTTACGTAAATGTTTAAGTCCTTTGGCATTATACCCTCGAATACACTCCCGCTTTCGCATGCTTCTACGTATATAACCTTCATTACATTAGAAACCACTCAATAAAATTAAATTGTTATACAAAAATTTTTACCACCCAAGAAATTAACTTGTTATACTAAGTTTTACCATCTCTCTGTATGTTCCAGCAGCATGCTTCTTCTTAAGTGTTTCAATAAAATCAGCAGCATATAAGTGAGGCGTATTTGGCATCCCTTTACCGACAAAAATAAAAAGAATAACTTACCATTATAAGCAATGCATATAGCCGCTAGAAAATCTTATTGAAACCACAAATGGTTGATGAATTTACCAAGAACTCCAGGACCACCATGATCGGAGTAATATACGAAAATGTGATCGTTAGGCTTGCTAGCGATGACCTTACCGCTTCCACCTTTAACCGCCTTCTTGTCACCTAAAAGTACCGCGTAGAAATTAGCGGCCGTAACGTCATGACCGGTATAGTCCTGAAAAAAAAGATATCTCAAAAAGTAAATAAACTATATAAAAGGAAAACAATTAGTGGCTATAATAAATCTAGGAGATTTGCCAATCAAAGGTCCACACTTAAAGTTTGGTTTACCACACCAAATGTCTCTAGAGTCACTATCACTACTAATTTGTTGGGTACTGCCTAAGTCACCATCTCTTACACGATTGATCCAATAATATATTAAGAAATTTAATAACCTTAGCGCCACAGACAAAGAAGAAAGTATAATTCCAAATAAGATTCTAAATTATACCATGCAACAATATAAAAATAAAGATCTAAAAACCTTGTTGGACGCTAATTGGACCCCAAAAAAAGGCATATTAGGCTAGAAACACCTAGACCATCAAAATTGCTTGAAGAAAAATCTCAAACCAAAACATAGACTAATCATATGGATTAAATGTACATTAATGCATAATTAAGAAATAAGCTAAGTTATTATATATACCTTAGGGACTCCGGCGTAAACATCCTCGCCGTCGGGATGGTTGATGAGAGTACCGGGACGAGGATTAAGTGGATGGTTTGCGATATCATCATACATTAAAACTACTATGTTCTCTTCCTTTAAACCTCCCTTTCTCAGTATTTGATATGCGTGACACACGTCGGCCTATAATAGAGAAGCAAGAAAACACAATAAATATAATTGTATTTTTGTTGATCGAATCATCGATAAAAAGACTTTTTTCCATGAGAATGTGGTATAAAGCAGAACTAGTTTGGCCAAAAAAAAGAAAAATAAACAAAGCAGAAATAGTTTGAGAAATGGAGAGATTCGTTCACCATAGGAAATTAGTTGTAAATAAGCTTTTAAGCTAATCATTGGATACTAGTAGCTCTTTTTTAGAAAAAGTTTATAAGCTTGTCACATAAAATTCCCGTCCAAAAAATCTAAGAAAATAATTATATCAACGAGTTTCATTTAACGAATACCAGATTTAATTTGTTAATCAATATAAACATCTGAGAAGTTAATATATACCTGGTGCCTGTAGTTTCCATAACCGGAGGAACCGGCGACGAGAACCGCCCATCTCGTACCGATAGCGGCTTCTTCTTGCTCAACCGGTTTAGTTTTCTCGGTCGGCATAAGGATCTTTGGCTCGAACCGACCGCGTGACTCGGTACGAACCAGGAGAAGTAAAAGAAGAAGAAGAGCTGATCTAAAACAAAAAGACATAGCCATGGCCGGGAGAGAGAGAGAAGAGAGAGACTCAAGAGAGCTATAAAAGCAAATGATGGTTACAGAGCTAAATGGTTCTCATGGTTTTTACAACATTAATTTTTTTAAAAAGACAAAAAAAGGAAGCGAGTTTGAGATATTTTTGTCAACAACACTTTAATATCTAGTTACACTTTTTTTGTCAATAAGCTTTTTCGGTGGGCCATTTTCCTTCTGTTGATTTTTTTTTTTTTTTTTTGAGAACTGAATTTTGTTAATCAAGAAAGATATTCATACAGAGGAGTCTAAATACTTCTCTTAGGTGTAATCAGTTACTACAGAAACGATTAATTGAAAGTCTTTTTGTCCAGCAATGACTATAACTTAGTTAATAAATTAATAGAAGATCTTACCAGATTAATATACATTCCCTCTATTTTTATGTTAAGTGATGCTTGAACAACCTTTTTTTTATATATTTACCGGTTTTACATAATTAGTAATTTAAAATATTACTCCAAAACAGCTCTGTAACCTGTAAGTGGAACCATTCGTTATTTCATACAAAAATAGGTTTATTCATTATAATTATAAACTTATTAATCATATAAATGATGATAATTAAAACAACAACAGAATATGATGATGTAACACACACGGCCAAAAAAAAAATTTGAGACCTTGATATAGTGGTTTGTAATTGTATAAAAAGATAATTTTTTTAATAGACGAGTGAAATTGATTATGATGTTGACGACTGAATATTTTGGAATATAACATTTGATCTCCAAAAAAAAACATTTGATCTCAATATCTCATAAAAATCAACCGACTCATTCACTGACTCACTTGTCTGCTTTGCGACACAATAGAGAACATGCAAACCACAGTCAAGACACGTATACATTTGTAGGACCCACACCGTGCTCATTTCACCCGTTACAACTTACAACGTCACCTAACCGAAATTTCGAAATGTATCCCGGTTTGATTAGAAAATCGTTAGACCGAGATTGAACCGGTTTCTATATCTCGCTCATCGTCCCCTCATATCGGTGGTGGATAAACTGCTAATAGGGTTTATTACAGGGTTTAACCATTTACAGTAACATAGATAATGAACAAACAAACCCGATCAAAATCAAATGAAGAGATCGATCTCGATATCGATTTCGATTTCGATTGCATCGAAAGCCAAGGACTTTCTCAATCGGCGTCTTCTCCAGAGAGGTAATTTTGTATCTGCTCCTTTCTTTAGCCGTTGCCGTCACCGGAGAGGAGATTTTTCTACCTCCGGTGATAACCAAAATAGAACGAGTAAAATCGATTTAAAAGATGCAATCGAATTGTTCAGTCACATGATTCAATCTCGTCCACTACCTTCCATTGTTGATTTCAGTAACTTGTTGAGTCAAATCGCTAAAACGAAGAAGTTTGATCTTGTGATCTCTCTCTTCCACCAGATGGAGATTCTGGGAATCGCGCATGATCTTTATACATACAACATTGTGATTAACTGCCTGTGTCGATGCTCTCGATTCTCTATTGCTTTATCCGTTATTGGGAAGATGATGAGGCTTAATTACAAGCCAGATGTTGTCACGCTTAGCTCTCTGATCAATGGATTCTGTCAAGTGAATAGAGTTTTCGATGCTATAGATTTGGTTGTTCGAATGGAGGCAATAGGATGTAAACCTGATGTTGTCATCTACAACACAATCATCGACACTTTCTGCAAAACAAGATTGGTGAATCACGCGTTGGAGCTCTTTGAACAGATGGAGAATGCTGGAGTTAGAGCAGATGCTGTTACTTACAACTCTCTCATAACCGGTCTTTGTAGCTTTGGTAGATGTAATGATGCTGCTCGGCTTCTGAGTGATATGGTAACGAGGAGAATCGTCCCTAATGTCATCACTTTCACCGCATTGATCGATGCGTCTGTGAAAGAAGGAGATCTCTCGGAGGCTGAGAAGTTATACGAGGAGATGATTCGAAGGTGTATAGAACCTGATGTTTTCACTTACAATTCGATTATCAACGGGCTTTGTATGCACGGTCGGCTAGATGAGGCCAGACAAATGCTTGATTTGATGGTTAGCAAGGAGTGTTTCCCGGATATAGTGACTTATAATACTCTCATAAATGGGTTTTGCAAGTCTAAGAGGGTAAATGAGTTGATGAAACTCTTTAGCGAGATTTCTCAAAGAGGATTAGTTTTCGATACAGTCACTTACAACACTATTATCCATGGATACTTTCTTGTGGGCAAACCAGATGTGGCTCAACGGATTTTCAGACGGATGGATTCTCCTGCCAATATAAGGACTTACAGTATTTTGTTAGATGGTCTTTTTAACAACGGGAGGATAGAGAAAGCGTTGGTGGTATTCGAGAATATGCAAAAGAGTGGAATGGATCTTGATGTTACTACATATAATATCGTGATTCACGGGATGTGCAAGGCTGGTTATGTGGAAGATGCTTGGGACTTGTTTTGTAGCCTTGCAGTTAGTGGAATCGGGCCTGATGTTGTATCATACACTACAATGATCACAGGCTTTTGTAGGAAACGACTATGGCATGAAGCAGATGAGTTGTATAGAAAAATGCAAGAAGATGGATTTGTTCCACTGTAACATAAGTAGATTCTTTTATTAAACTGTATATAATACATGAAAGAAAAAGGGAACAGATTCTTTTATTTTGTATCCATCACCATTTGTAAAAATACAAAGAAAGTGTAGAAAGAAGTTCAATGTAATAATGTTTTTTGAATCCAGAAAAGGCAAGCAAGCCTGAGGAGAAGACAAATGTTTTCAAAACATAGCTCTCCATGAATACCACTTGAGTTTAAACTGAAACCAAAGTGGAGAAACACCGAGAACTCCTCTCTGAATCCTCGGATCAAACACATCGAAATGTACTTTACTTAACGAATCAAGAAGAACTTGTACCGGCACAGAATGAAGCAGAACCGGTTTAGCTTCTGCAGGAACTTTTCCCGCCAGTTCACGGGCTTTCAAGAGATGTACATTGGCAACAGATGCAATCTCAAACACTACATTGCATAGTCCTTCTCTTGTATTCATATCCAGAAGGATCTCTGATCGTCCTCCTTGTTTCACAAGCAACCCGTGCTTCTCAGCGAGATTCGCAGGGATGTAACTCTGTTGACGGTTTCTTGTACAGTGGTAAGGTAACGATTTCAGTAGCAAGACAAGACCACTGGCTTTACCGATGTGAGAAGCTGCGTGATCCGCTGCTGTTGAACTGATTCCGCCTGCTTGGAGTGTATTGTACAGAAGCGTAGAAACCGTATCTTCTGCGTATTTCTCAAGCTCCTCGATGCTCTCGGGTATATCCTCCACTTCTCTTTGAGCATCACGGATTCTAGCTTCAACCGAGCGTTTAAGCCAAGGTTTACTGATGTTGTGCTCTGATATGGCCCAAGACAGAGCTTGTGCAGTAGGGTGGTTTATGGGTTTTTTGGTGTAGAGCTTGTCGATTGCTTCTTGCCACCAAAGTAAACGCATCAAGCCGATTTTTGGATCAGATGCAACATCCATGGCTCTCGCGGTTTCCACGTTGAAAGCTCGGAGTGCAAATGCAGCTTTACGCATCTCGGGTGGGAGCTCAAGTAGACAGAGGTAGTGATGATAGTCATAGTTTCGTACTTGTTGTACACAGTAGGATAATGCTGAACGCAAACTCTTCGAGCCTCCTCCATTCATCAGATTTTCTCAACCTGTTGCTTCGTTTCTCTTCTCCTGCAACCATTTAAAACAACGAATCTGAAAATGCTATACATAAACAGTAACCAAGAATCCCTCTACGAACACAAGAGCTTATCTTGCAACAATTAACAATTCAAATGTAACAGATAAAACTCATTCAGGAATTATAACGAACACCTAGTGGACAAAGGACCTAGCATTGTTGATTAATAAAAACGAGAGCTTTCTACACGAAATGCGTAAAATCAATCAGAAACACAACAACAAAAGCACGAATCACAAGTGAAATCACAGATAATTTCAAGCAGCTAATGCGAAATCGCTAGAAAAACATAATATGTCGCCCCGTGATAACGAAATGAGAAAAAGCCTTACACAAACTTCAGGATCTCTTTGATCTGTCTTTCCAAATCATAAGATGTTTCTGAAACCAATCTAACATCTAAATCCAAAAGTATCGATCTATCGACAAAAATGGAAATCGAACTGAAGAAATCGTGCCGGAGAGGTGTCGACGGGGAACACTTGAGCAAACGACGGCGTTTTGATGTAAACAACTATTATAAATAAATAAACGCGGTGAGGATATTTTAAACCCTAACAAACACTCATTCTCGGATATTTATTTATACTCGTATCCAAACACTTCCCTTAACCAAAACCCCAATAACTCTCTTCTCTCAAGGTATCTTCCAGAAGAACAAATCAAAAAGAAGAGAACTCTGCAAATTTCCCAGATTCAACCATGGCAGACGAAGCAAAAGCTAAAGGAAACGCAGCTTTCTCCTCCGGTGACTTCAAATCCGCCGTTAATCACTTCACCGACGCAATCAATCTAGCTCCAACCAACCACGTCCTCTTCTCGAACCGTTCCGCTGCTCACGCGTCGCTTAACCAGTACGAAGAAGCTCTCTCAGACGCGAAGAAGACCGTTGAACTTAAACCAGATTGGGCCAAGGGTTATAGCCGTCTCGGAGCTGCTCACCTGGGGTTAAACCAGTCCGAAGAAGCCGTCGATGCGTATACGAAAGGGCTCGAGATCGATCCAAGCAATGAAGCTCTGAAATCTGGATTAGCAGATGCACAAGCTTCTGCGTCGAGGTCACGCGCCGCCCCGAATCCGTTTGGGGATGCTTTCCAAGGGCCGGAGATGTGGGCGAAGCTGACGGCGGATCCTTCGACTAGAGGGTTTTTGAAGCAGCCTGATTTTGTTAACATGATGCAGGAAATCCAGAAAAACCCTAGTAATCTGAATCTTTACTTGAAAGACCAGAGAGTGATGCAAGCTCTTGGAGTTTTGTTGAATGTTCAATTCAGGACGCAGACGGGAGATGAAGTGGAGGCTCAAGAGGATGAGATGGCTGTGCCTCCGAGGAAAGAGCCTGAGGTGGTAGAGAAGAAACGAGAGCCGGAGCCTGAACCTGAGCCGGAGGTTGGTGAAGAAAAGGAGAAGAAGGAGAGGAAGCAGAAAGCTCTCAAGGAGAAAGAGATGGGGAATGCTGCGTACAAGAAGAAGGACTTTGAAACTGCTATCAAGCATTACTCCACGGCTATGGAGATTGATGATGAAGATATCTCTTATATCACAAATCGTGCTGCTGTTCATCTGGAGATGGGAAAGGTATGTTATTTCTTGTCAAGTTCCTGTCATTATTCTAGAGTGATTTGCTTGGCCCGAAGTTGAATTTTTAAATGTGAATGTGTTTGATTCAGTATGATGAGTGCATCAAGGATTGTGATAAGGCAGTTGAGAGAGGTAGAGAGCTTAGGTCAGATTACAAGATGGTAGCTAAAGCTTTGACTAGAAAAGGAACAGCTCTGGGGAAGATGGCTAAATGCTCAAAAGACTACGAACCTGTGATTGAGACTTACCAGAAAGCTCTTACAGAGCATCGTAACCCTGAAACGTTGAAGAGGCTGAATGAGGCAGAGAGAGCCAAGAAAGAGTTGGAGCAGCAAGAGTATTTTGATCCCAGTATTGGTGATGCGGAGCGTGAGAAAGGTATATGCTTTGCAATTATATCTTGTTAATTTGAGGTATGAATCACGAATTATCCCAATAAATAGTTGGTTGAATTAACAATCTCTTGTGTTTGTGATGCAAGGTAATGAATTTTTCAAGGAGCAGAAGTATCCTGATGCGGTGAGGCATTACACTGAAGCGATCAAAAGGAATCCAAAAGACCCGAGAGTAAGACCAATTCATCATCATATGTGCTTCAATCTTGTGTACCATGGTTTTCCCTTGCTTGTCTGTTTGAATAACTTGTTTGAACTTCACATAGGCATATAGCAACCGAGCTGCATGTTACACAAAACTAGGGGCAATGCCCGAAGGATTGAAGGATGCAGAAAAATGTATCGAGCTCGATCCAACATTCTCAAAGGGATACAGCAGAAAAGGTGCAGTCCAATTCTTCATGAAGGAGTATGACAATGCAATGGAAACATACCAGGAGGGTCTCAAATATGATCCTAACAATCAGGAACTTCTTGACGGTGTTAGAAGGTATGCACATTTGTAAAGTCACGGAGAGTTTATTCACTCTTGTTATTTTAGTGCCTTTGTAACTTGTTGTAAACCTTTTCTGCAGATGTGTACAACAGATTAACAAGGCAAACCGTGGTGACCTTACTCCTGAGGAGTTGAAAGAAAGACAGGTTAGATTCTAACTAGTGTTATAAAACTTCGTTATTTTTCGATTAAGAGTTTAAGATTACGGAAATTGGGATTTTGCTTTTACTTCTTGCAGGCTAAGGGAATGCAAGACCCGGAAATCCAGAACATTCTCACAGATCCTGTAATGAGACAGGTAAAGAAACACACTAAAACTTCTCTTGATTTTTTCACAGTTCTGAAATTAATGTTTAGTTCTGATTTCCATGTTGATGCTGTCTCACCAAAATCCAACACTTTTTCTTTGTACACAGGTACTGTCTGATCTCCAGGAGAATCCAGCAGCAGCACAGAAACACATGCAGAATCCAATGGTCATGAACAAAATCCAAAAGCTTATCAGCTCAGGAATCGTCCAGATGAAATAAACTCAGAAGCAAAGACATTGATTTCTTCGCAGATTTGTTTTTCTTTTATAACTCTCAGCACCAAAATCGAGTCCTTACCATTTTTTCCAGACTATTCTGATATAACATTTTCCTTCTCATATTCATGTGTGTTTTAAGATAATAACATCCTTGTCTTTATAGATTTGATTCGCTTACATTTCTATATAAACCAAACAAAAATCACAATAATGTTTCGGTGTAGGATTAGTCCAGAAAAAAAAAAAAGAACAAAATCTGTCTTAAGCAGCAACTTCTTGATCCTTGGACGAAAGCTGGTTCTGAATATGCTGAGGAACAACATCGAACTTAGCCAATTGCATTGTGTAAGAAGCTCGACCTTTTGTCATCCCTCGCAATGTACTCACATACTGAAACATCTCTGCTAATGGAACCAAAGAATCAACCACCTACAATAACAAGAACAAGAACCCCAAAATCAAGATTCATCAACCAAGTTTGGGTTTCTCGATCATTCGATTTGACACAAACATACCTTGAGACCGCCAGGTTTGTCTCCAAAGCTGTTAATCTGACCTCTTCTTGAGTTAAGATCACCAATGACATCACCAAGATGTTCTTCTGGTGTCACAACTTCAACTCTCATGATAGGTTCAAGCATTCTTGGACCTGCTTTCCTCATCCCTTCACGGAAAGCTCCTCTTGCAGCAAGCTGGAAAGCTAGCACGCTCGAGTCCACATCATGGTAAGATCCGTCAACCAGACAAGCACGGACATCAACAACCGGAAAACCCGCAAGCACACCGGAGCTCATACACTCCTCAAGCCCTTTCATCACACCGGGAATATACTCTCTAGGCACTGCTCCTCCTTTGATCTCACTCTTGAACTCATATCCTGATCCTGCTTCCATTGGCTCAAAACGGACTGTAATATCAGCAAACTGACCTTGTCCACCTGACTGCTTCTTGTGTGTGTATTTCACTTCAGCTATTTTGGAGATACTCTCACGGTAGTTCACTTGCGGTGCACCCACATTAGCCTCGACCTGAAACAATTAAAGGAATTAGAAGATTGGAAAACATTGAAGAGAGAACAGATTTAGAAAAGGTTATGTTTTTTTTTACCTTGAACTCTCTTTTAAGTCTGTCAACGATGATCTCGAGATGAAGCTCTCCCATTCCTTCAATGACGGTTTGGTTCATCTCTTCATCGCGGGAAAAATGGAATGACGGGTCTTCTTGAGCGAGCTTGATCAATCCTGTCGCCATTTTATCAATGTCTGCTTTTGTTTTTGGCTCAATCGCTACCTTAATGACGGGATCAGGGAAGTCCATACGTTCAAGGACAACAGGGTTTTCTGGATCACTCAATGTTTCACCAGTGATTGTATCTTTGAGACCCGCAAGAGCGACAATGTCCCCTGTTAAAGCCACTTTAACATCTTCTCTGCTGTTTGCGTGCATTTCCAAGAGCCTTCCAATCCTCTCCTTCTTTCCTTTGTTAGCATTCAGCACGTAAGAACCAGCTGTGAGTTTCCCTGAGTAAACTCTCACAAACGTAAGAGAACCCACGAAAGGATCACTCATGATCTTGAATGCTAACCCAGCGAATGGCTCGTCATCATTCGGTTTCCGCTCAATGGAGATTTCAGGGTTCTCAGGATCTGTTCCATTCATTGGAGGAACTTCAACTGGCGAAGGCAGATAATCAACCACGGCATCAAGTAATGGCTGCACACCTTTGTTCTTGAACGCTGAGCCACACAGAATAGGCACAAACTTCCCTGTGATGGTTCCTTTCCTGACCAGTCTCTTCACTGTGGCCTCGTCAGGCTCAACTCCTTCTAGATAGTTCTCCATGACTTCATCATCCAAATCAACAATCAGTTCCATCATCTGCGCCCGATAATCTTGAGCCAAATCTTCAAGATCCTCTGGAATATCCTCGTAACTGAACTTGGCACCAAGCTCTTCTCCTGACCAAACTATAGCTTTCATCCTCACAAGATCAACAACACCTTTAAACACATCTTCAGCACCGATTGGTAACTGAAGCACCAACGGCTTAGCACCCAAATTGGTCACAATCATGTCCCTAGTCCTGAAAAAGTTGGCTCCAAGTCGGTCCATTTTGTTAACAAAGCAAATCCGAGGCACACCGTATTTGTCAGCTTGTCTCCAGACAGTCTCGGACTGAGGCTCGACACCAGCAACACTGTCGAACAAGCATATAGCTCCATCGAGAACCCTGAGAGCACGTTCGACCTCGAGAGTGAAGTCGACGTGTCCAGGGGTATCGATGATGTTGATTCTGTGTTTGTCCCAAAACGTTGTGGTTGCAGCTGAAGTAATGGTGATTCCTCTTTCTTGCTCTTGTTCCATCCAATCCATTGTAGCTGTTCCTTCGTGCACTTCGCCGATTTTGTAGTTTCTTCCTGTGTAGTAAAGAATCCTCTCGGTTGTTGTCGTCTTTCCGGCGTCGATGTGAGCCATAATAC